CAGAAGAATTCAACCTCAATTTTTTTCATCTTTAAGTCAAAGACAACCATGTCTAAGTCACAGGGACACTGTGAGAATGAAATAAGTAAACACAGATTAAGTAGCTCACACATTAGTGTACTTGATGCTTAAAGATGCTAATTCTATCTGTGAGGGGAAGTGCTCACACAATGTCCAAGAACCCACAGCTCGCACACCTGCAATATATGTGGAACTACTTGAGTCTACAGTGTCTGTGCTCATGCTCGCTCTGAATAATGTGTGCCTCTTATCTAGAGTCACCCAAAGGATGGAGAGAGAAAGACCAGTCCACAACACCACCTGCAAACCTGTGAGCTTCTGGAGAGGAGAGGGGGAAACCAAATACCACCTAGGCATTCCTTAGTAGCTAAGCACAGCCACAATCTCAGTAAGGTAGGCTGCTTTCCTACAGGTGTTATTTGGGAGTCCATTTACATTTAAAGACTGAAATCTCTACCTGGTTGTAGTGTAGGTTGTTCTTGGCACTGCTTCCCCAGTCAAAGGCTTGAAACCTATGACATTCTAAAATCTAAGAAGCCCATAATGGGGGGTGGGGGGCGGGCAAGAAGATGAGCTATTATTAGAGGTCACTGGAGTTAGCCAGGTCCTCAGAATTAAATGTTATACCAAAATCCTGATCTAATCTTTATTTCCAAATTGTGAGTTAAAACTAAATGAAATTATTCTGTTTTCACACTATGGCTCAACTCTCAATGTATGACTGGGAAAATGGCTACTTTATGACACAGGAAATCAGCTACATTCAAATGCTGTGAGTTACACTGGATTTATGATTGTGACTGTTATATAAATATTGTATTGCTGTGATGGTTACTGTTATTTTGGCAGTCCTGTAGGCAACTGTTCTACCATTGGAGGCATGCCTTCAACCCACTTTGCTTTGGTATACCTTTTCTGGTAGTATTCTCACTGCTTTTGGCCCAGGGCTAGCCTTATACCACAGTCCTCCTACATCTGATTCATGCTCAGCTGGAATTATACATGTGTGCCACCAGGCCTGGCCTAGATTAACTTTCCTTAATCAAATCTCTTCCAATAAAACTTCCATCTTTTGTTTCTTGGAAGAGTTAGTTAGTGGTTTTACATGGTAGTACAGAACCCTGATGACAGTTCAGAAGTGATGGACTGACTTACTACTGAGGTAGCAATGTGAGTTTCACACAATGACAAGATTTCACAGTGGTGAAATTCTCACTGAATTGTCCCACTGCATTGTTGGTGAAAAGTAGTTGGAAAGTAGTATGGAGGTTCCTCAAAAGACTCTACATAGAGCTCCCCTATGATCCAGCAATCCCACTTTTGGGCCTTACCCAAATGATCACAAACATACCAAGCTACCAGCACAATTATGTTTATTGCAGCATTATTTATCATAGCTAAGATATGGAACCAACCCAGATGCCCCTCAGTAGATGAATGGATCAAGAAAATGTGATATGTATATAAATATATATATAGTGGAATTCTATGCCTCCATCAGAAAGAATGATATCACCCCATTTGTTATGAAATAGAAAGACTTGGAAAAAAATATATTAAGTAAGCCAGGCTCAAAGACACATAAGTCCCATGGTTTCGCCTATATGGAATAACTAGTATATTTCTGGGACAAGCAAAAAAGGTCAAAAGCTATGTACATATGACCAGATAAGATGATGATAAGCGAAATAAAATGCAAGATAGGGACACAAGGGTTTTGGGGGGGGGGGGTCATGGGGCCTGAACTCTGGGCCAGGACGCTGTCCCTCAGCTCTTCAGCTCAAGGCTAGCACTCTACCACTTGAGCCACAGTGCCACCTCCAGCGTTTTTCTTTTTGCATATGTGGTGCTGAGGAATTGAACCCAGGGCCTGAGGCATGCAAGGCAAGTGCTCTACCACTGAGCCACCTTCCCAGCCCCGGTATTTTTCTTTCTTGCTATTGTTTCTAATATATTTATAATATGCCATGTGAATTTTTTTTGTTTCTTTGCATGTTCCTCCCACACGATATTACTCCTGTCTTACCTGTATTGGATGTCAATGCCAGAATCTTGTATATACAATTTTCTAATCTGGAGAGAGGAAAGGAAAGAACAAAATACTTTAATAGGGATATAGGTTGACCCATCTTAACAATGGGATGTACAAGACACGATGTTAAAAAACAAACTTTACAATTTAGGTGTGAGGGATGTGGGGAGTGTAGTTGTGGAGGTAGAAGGGAAGAGACGGTAGGGGGAAAACAAAGGAGGAGGCAACAATGCTTGATAAGAAATGCACTCATTACCTTGCTCATGTAACTGTAACCCTTCTGTACAGTATTTTTACAATAACAAAAGTATTTTTAAAAAAACTACTATATTAAGAAGTGCATAGTATCCACAATCTTATGACATTCATTCCTTACACATGACACATTCCAGAATGTATGATTCAGAAAGAGTAAAAAAGATAATAAACTATAAAGAGATGACAGTTTGGCTACATGCAGTTATATAACTGTAATTAAGGGAACAATATTTGCCATTCTTGCATTTTAAAAGCACATGACAGAAAAACTTACCACAGTCATGTTTGCCTCAGGATTCACAACTGACACCTTCCCTCTGCTCCCCTGGGAGTACAGAATCCCAAGGACCAAACAGACCATGAATTCCAAGAAGTACATTCTCATCCCAAAAAGTAAATAATTTTTACAGTTCTGGAATTTCACTACTGCTTACTGTATGCACAAAAACCTTAAGGAAAGCAGAACTCTATGAAAAAAATAAAGGCAATATTAATTTCCTAAGACAACTCCTGCCCAGTTAACATGTGAGTGAGCTTTGGAGCCCAGCACACCCACTAAGTAACTCACCACAATTTTAAAGGGTGCCTAGAGAAATAACAGAGTGCAGGACTTAATCTTGGACAGGGTGAGCAAAAGGAAGAGACAAAAAATGTCAGAGCTGGTTAATTTCCCATTTTCCCCCTTTTATGTGGAATTTAAAATTTTCATATTCTTTCAGGCACTATGAGCCCTTACCTCCTACTATCTACTCACATATTGACCTAAATTCTATATCTTCAAGTTTGTTACTTGAGTTGGAAAAATATGTGAAACAAAAAAGCTTACAAGAGAAACAGGGAGAAAGGATTCAATTACTCTTTCTCCCTCTAGAAAGCTCCAACCACCAGCTGAGGACATTTGCAAGACCACAAAAACGAATACAAATCCATGTGAATTATATGGAACTTTATCCTCTATGTGTTCCAGTGTTTGGTGGGAACCATATGAACCATCTTGTTAGCCCAAATTACTAAAAAAATGTTAAAAATATTTATGTTAACATGCTTGATAGATTTGTTAATACTATGTTCAGAAAAACAACTTGATCTTGGTTCTATATATCCTGGCAGAAACCATGCTTGCCTTCTAATCTGCAAAATGTATCATATAAAAGCAATTAATAAACATACTCAGAAAATTATGATTGACTAAAAGTTGGCTGAGAGGCATAGACTTCATTTTAAGAAGCACTAACAGAACATAGACTAGTTAATCAAATCTTTTTGTGCAATTTAAACCCACAAACAGCAGGTAAATAGTCTCCTTGTACAAACTAAGAGCTACAAAACAATTCTTTCATTTTAGATGACTTGAACGTAAATCTTTTCTTTTACAATACAAAATTTGTTCGTGGAATCGCCATCACTTACGCGCATAGACTCTACGCAAGGGCTGATATTGAATACAGTATGATACTGGAAACTCATAGACATTGCTGCTTGTAGATCTCTGTAAATTTGACAAGCTATTGAATATTCCAAAACTTTCCATGTTCACCAGTTCAAAAAGCAGTGTATGAGCTATCTGCAGGCCCATTTATGCTGCACTATTTATAATAGCTCAGTTGTGGAACCAGCCTGGGTACCCATTAATAGATGGATGGTAAATATACCAAGAGTTTTCTTCAGCCATGAGAAGAACAAAATTAAGCCATTTGCAAGGAAATTGATGGAAGTGGAGATCACTAAGTTAAATGAAATTTACCAGCTTCATGTGTTTTCCCTCATACATGGAATCTAGGGGTAAGGGAGGACCTGAAATGGGGGATGATTAGCAAGGTGGATGCGGAAAGTGGGAAGTGATATGAGAAAGAGAAAGGAATGAGTATGTTCCAGGTCATTATATATACCTTTGACACTGTCAATAAAACCCCTGACTTTGTAAAAAGAAAAAAAAAGCAATGTGTCTCAAATAATTAATGTACACGTGTGAAAACAGAATGAAAAAGCTTGTTGAGACTGGCTTGGGAAGCAGGGAGTAGAAATGAAGAAGAGTGAAGGAGACGATGATTCTCATCAAGGAATGCACATTATGTGTGGATCTGGAAACCACTACGAAAGCAATTGTGCAAACAACTAATACTTACAAAAAGAAACAAGATAAAAAAAAAAAAGGCTTCCTAGGGAGTTGGCACTTGAGGTGTGTGAGGTCCTCTCCTGGACTAGAGGCTTGTGAAGATAATTGTGTTCAACAGAGATGTTCACAAAAAGAGTTGTAAAGAACAGAGATAGAGGCCAGGTTCTGGTGGTTCATGCCTTCATCTAGGTACTATGGTGTCTGAAATCTAAAATTGTGGCTCAAAACAAGGCAGGGTAAAGAAAGTAGGTAAGACTCTTCTCTCTGATTATGAGCAAAAAGCCAGAAGTGGGAGTGTGGCTAAAGTGGCAGAGTTCTAGCCTCAAGCACAAAAGCTAAGGGACAGTGTCTAAGCCCTCAGTTCAAACCCACTACTGGCACACACACACATTTTTTTAAAAAAAGCAAAAAGAACAGAACTAGAATCCCTGTGAAATTGTCACAGGCCTATGGTGAAGTTCTGAGTGTGATTTAATCATGAAGTAAAAGAAGATGAGTTCAGCCAGGACCTGAAGGTATTAGAGAACTTATGTAGCTCCATCCAGGAAAAGAAAGCATGGCCAAAACCGAATGAGCAATGTAATACAAACTCAGGAAGAGTGGTTATGCAGTATTTTCCTTCTTACATTGGTCTAGCCACTTGTCCTTGGAAAACTTTGGAAAGAAGATAAAAAGGAGAAAAGATCTGTGAAAAACATTCCCTTCTCTCTTGTCTCTGTGGGAATTTAGATGACCAGAACTTCTAAGAGACTCTGTGGGTGTCCTCCTGTGACTGGCTCCAAGTAGACAATAGACAAACCAAGTAACCGACATCACTGAAGCCACCCTCTGACAAGCTCTCCCTACTACTGGAGAACACAAAAAACAGAAATACTCTGTCCCTTTCATTTTTGCCCTACACAGGCATCTGTACTTGGTTGGCCAGGATGCCCTGGTCACAGGAGAAAGAAGGGTTTCCAGGATGACTTATGGCCAGGAAGGAGTTTGGCTTCCTCCTGGGATGCCACCCTCACTGCATCTCACTCTCTTCTGTGGTTTCATGGAAGATCAGATCAGTGCCATGTCAGCTGCTAGGCCCACCCAGATGTGACCTGTGCATCTAATTTTATTTAACTAAATGGCATGTCCACTCTGATCACACACATATGTCATAGATACTGACTCTCTATGTCTCCAGTTCTGTTATTAGGCTCAGGATTCACAAAAAGAAATAAGAAATAGAGTCTTACTCAAGTTCAGTATTGAAAGACTATGCATGGCCTCACATCAATGTTTTGGAGGCTGAAGGCACATGTTAGATTCTAGTTCTAGTGACTTCATATGTTCAAGGAGGGGGTTCGACAGACAGGCCTTGACTAGTGCTTCTGGTGTCTTCTGGGTTCATTAATGCCTAGACTCTACTCATAACTTCATTATGATGGAGCATGCTGATGATGGAGGAATCCGTTTCCAAACAAGGTCTCTTTAGCCTAGATACCTCTTTTTACTTTTCCATGAGATTTAAAAACAACAACAACAACAAGAACAGCATTCAAAGACTGCAGACGTGAAGTGAAGTTCCCAAGGAGGAAGGATTAAGGCGAGAGGAGAAAATCAGAAGTTCTGACGAAAGAAAAAGAATATTCCAACATAAAGAAGCACACACACACACATAACAAGGCACACAGGCACACATACACACACATGCATCTTTCAAGCCTATGAAGCTGAGTTTTATTGAAAATCTTCAAAATGTTACAAATATTATTGTTCTCCTGGAGGCAGTCAAAGACAAGTACTGTTACTGCTACTGGTAAGTACCTATAAAAGTAATATCTATCAAATGTCATTCTGTTCCTCAAACAGTAACATAGATGGTACAGAGAGGCAAGTGAACATGGAGTTCATGATGCAAAGCAAGATTGTTAAAAATATCAACAAAACACAATGAAAAACAATGAATCCTTGAGCTGAGCTTTAATCTGAAATCATTCCTGTGCACAGATTCTGTGTGTGAAACTTAACTTGGACGCTTCTCATTGGCTTTGGTGTGATGGACAAGATCGAGCCTAAATGACTAGTTCAGAGTTCATTACTTGTAGGAGAAGAGTAGTGGTTTAGTCTCTCTGCAGAACACTACTTCAAGTGTATGTTGTCAAGCTACTCATAATAATTCAGACTCCATAAAGACTTTAAACCATTTGTCATTATATAGATATGTAAAAGTAAGTTTAATCTATATTTGAAGACTCCAGAAAATTATTTTGTTCAGCGTGAACCATTATAGTGGGGATACTACTGGATTTGACAAAGTACTTACTACAAAAAAAACACAGAAAGATGTAATTTGATATATAAGTTCAAGGTGATTACACTGCTAACTTTTCAAGAAAAGGTGATAAAAACTAGGTACATTTTATATTATATTCAACTCAGTCAAATTATTTATCAAATACCAACATGACAAATTACCCAACATAACAATTTGCTCTATATGAGCATATAAAGGCAACAGTGTATACTTGAAATTGTGAGGACAAATAGATATTCATAATGACATGGTATTTTTAACAGACTATAAAAATGACAATATAGGGGCTGGGAAGGTGGCTCAGTGGTAGAGCGCTTGCCTTGCATGCCTGAGGCCCTGGGTTCAATACCTCAGCACCATATAAGCAAAAAGAAAAAAGCCGGAAGTGGCGCTGTGGCTCAAGTGGTAGAGCGCTAGCCTTGAGCTGAAGAGCTGAGGGACAGCACCCAGGCCCAGAGCTCAGGCCCCATAACCGGACCCAAAAAAAAAAATGACAATATAGTTGAGACCCTAACTTCACATATAGCCCTTAATTAGAAAAAAATCTAGCTAGTGTATATGCTTCTAATCATATCTAATGAGAATCATTCATCTTTAAAATCATGGTATCTTTCATATTAAAGAACAAAAGATCTTGGAAAATAAATACTCCTTTTCCAACAATTAAGCAAACACCCTTTTCTATGAGTGTCTCTGGCTCTCATTGGTATTTCTTCATCTGATCAATAATTTCATCATATATTCTCCAGGGGGCATTCAAGCCCCAGATAAAGTCAATATGATTGTAATCAGGAATTTCCTTGTGGTACACCAAGTTGGAGATCTGAGTCTGTAAGATATGGACGTCACTGGCATCTGCCAGCCAGTCTCGAGCCCCGTTCCATAAGGCTATGGGCACAGGAATATCTTTCAAATTGTACTTGGGAGGGTAACTCTACAATAAAAAAGAAGAAAGGTTTAATATAATTTTCAAAACGGC